AGAGACTTGAAGCAGTAAAGAAAACTAATGACTACAAAGCAAATCAAATCAGAGAAAGAGTAGGAGCAAGAACGGTTTTAAAACATGCTATTAAGAAAAAAGCAGTAATAACAGAAGAAAGAAGCGCCTTTAGAGCATATGCCAACGCCTACACAATTTCAAACATTCATTTAAAAGAGTTGAACGGATTGACTTATTTTAATTATCAATTTGACAAAATTAATGAATACTTGAAAGAGAATAGAGGAATGAAACTTAATGCTACAATAAATATGAAAGTTATGAACTTATTTGATGAGGAGAGAAACGTAACAGTTAGGACAAGGTCGTACACTATTGTAAATGAAGAGGATTTAAGGAATGCTTTGAAAAGAATGAGACCTGATGTTGAAACAAGAATTTTAGATATGGCTTTGTATCAGTCAGGATTAATAATTAGCAATATTAATAATATTCATATCATGTATAATAAATATAATCCGACTAGAGCTGGCAAATATATTGAACTTCCAGAATGGATTAAAAAGAAAAAGGCATGTATCAATATTAAAAATCAAGATGACAAGTGTTTTAAATATTCTATTGAGTGTGGATATTGTAAAATTTGTGATAAAGCACACCCTGAAAAGATGTTTCATTACAAGAAGATAGAAAGTGATTTGATTTTTGATGGTGTGAGTTTTCCTGCTAATAATAATGATATAGATATATTTGAAGAAAATAATAAATCAATATCCATTAATGTTTATGAAATTGATGATAATGAACAAATTGTTATTAGTAGAAAATTGAAAAATAAAGATGCTTCTTGTCATCTTGATTTGTTGAGAGTTGATGAGGAGGATTGCAGTCATTATGTGTATATAAAAAGTTTGAGCAGACTTATTAATAATCAAAAAAGTAATCATAATGGTAAGTCCTATTTTTGTAAATATTGTAATCATGGATTTAGAAATGAAGAATTATTAAATAAACATTATGATAGTGGATGCATGGAAGTTGAAGGACAACAAATAGTAATGCCTAAGCCTTATGAGAAAGTTAGTTTTAAGCATCACTTCAAAAAGTTAAGGTGTCCTTTTGTTGTATATGCTGATTTTGAATGTTTGACAGAGGAACTGAAAAAACCTGATGAAGATGAAGATAAAAACACTTTTTCTTATCAAGAGCATAAGCCATGTGGTTTTATGCTTAATATGGTTAATGCTGTTGATAATACAAATTATGAATTTATGTATCGTGGTAAAGATGCTGTTGATGTGTTTTGTCAAAAACTTAATGAGATTAGGGCAGAAGTAAAGGAGAAGATGGGAGAAAACAAAAAAATAGATATGACTGATGAAGACAAAGAAGATTTTAAAAATGCTAAAAACTGCTTTATTTGTGGGGATAAGTTTAGAATGAACTATAAGAATGCCAAGGAAGCAGAGAAATATAGAAAAGTTAGAGACCATTGTCATTTTACAGGTAAGTATAGAGGTTGTGCTCATAATGTTTGCAATCTTAATTTTTGTAATAGATATTTTAAAATTCCAGTATTCTTTCATAACATGAAAAATTATGACGGTCATTTAATTATTCAAAATGCTGATAAATTAAGTAACAACAATAAAATAGGTGTCATCGCTCAGAACAGTGAAAAATTTATTAATATCAGTTTTGAAAGTTTGAGTGTTAAAGACACTTTTGGGTTTTTAACTGCTTCATTAGATAAGTTAGTTTCAATGAGTAAGTATGATAATACAGATGAAGAAGATAAAAGTAAATGGTTATTGCGTGAAAACTGGAAAGATAATTTTAGGTTCAGTAGTAAAAATGATTTGATTAAGAGTGAGAAATGTCTAGATTTATTAACTGATAAAGGCGTTTATCCTTATGACTACATGAATTCATTTGATAAATTTGATGATGAGCAATTACCGAGTAAGGATGATTTTTATAGTCAGTTGAGTGAAGAAGGTATAAGTGTTAACGACTATGAAAGGGCAAAAATTATATGGAAGCATTTCGACATTAAGAATATGGGTGAATACCATGATTTATATTTGAAAACTGATGTATTATTATTGACTGACATTTTCGAAAACTTTAGAGATGTATGTATGAAATATTATGGATTGGACCCTGCTTATTATTATACATTGCCTAACTTTGCTTTTGATGCTATGCTTAAAATGACTGGTGTAGAGATTGATTTAATATATGACCAAGAAATGTATGAAATGATAGAAGCGGGACTTAGAGGCGGGATGTGTATGGTTTCTACTAAAAAAGTTGAAGCAAATAATAAATACATGGGAGAAGAATATGATAAAAAATAGAAAGTAGTTATATTAACTATTTTGATGCTAATAATTTGTACGGGTTAAGCATGATACAAAAACTGCCATATAAAAATCTAAAATGGGATGATACATTAAAAGAAGAAGACATTATTAATTATAAGAATAATAATATTGGATATATTCTAGAAGTGGATTTAGAATATCCTAAAGAATTACACGATTTACACAATGACTATCCAATGGCACCTGAGGTTATGAATGTTAAAGCCGACATGCTGTCAGATAAACAAATTGAAATTTATGAATTTTTAAATCATAAAAAACCTACGGATGAGAAAACAAATAAATTAGTATTGAATTTAAATGATAAAGAAAAATATGTAATCCATATAAGAACCTTACAATTTTATTTGAAGCAAGGGTTAAAACTTAAGAAAATTCATAGAGCAATTAAATTTGAACAAAAAGAAGTTTTAAAACCTTACATTGAGTTTAACACTGAGAAGAGGAAGAATGCTAGAAATGATTTTGAGAAAGATGTTTACAAATTGATGAACAATGCCATATTTGGAAAAACAATGGAGGATAAAAGGAAACATTTAGATTTTGAGGTTGTGAGTGATGAAACTAGATATATGAAGTGTGTAAGTAATCCTAACTTCAAACATAGTCATATCATTAATGAAAATTTGGTTGGAGTTGAAAAGCAAAAAACAAAGTTGAAACTAGACAAACCTATATTTATTGGGATGAGTATTTTAGATTTGAGTAAGCAACACATGTATAAATTTTATTATGACGTTATGAAGCCTAAATATGGAGATAATACTAAAATGGTATATACTGATACTGATAGTTTTGTATTTCATACTAAAACCAATGACATTTATGTAGGCCTTAATACAATTAAAAAAGAATTAGATTTTTCAGATTATCCTAAGGAACATAAATGTTATGATGATAATAACAAGAAAGTATTAGGTAAATTTAAGGATGAATTAAAAAGTAAAATAATAACAGGGTTTATAGCTCTTCGTCCTAAATGCTATGCTTACTCAGTTTATGGTGATGATAAAAAATATAAGAAATGTAAGGGCATAGCAAAAGGCACAGTAAGACGTCAAATGAAATATGAAGAGTTTGAGACGGTTTTAAAAACTAATGAGGTTATACATAAGTCATTTAATAGTATTAGAAGTAAAAACCACAGAATTTTTAGTATAACAACTAAAAAAATTGCTCTTAGTAGTTATGAAAACAAAAAATATTGGATAGATAGTGTAAACTCACTTGCTTACGGCCATTATAAGATAAATTCTTTGAAAACGACTTAAAGAAATATTGACTTAATATATTATAATAGAAATGGTTGAATTTACTAAAAAAGAGCAAGAAGAAATTATTAATGACTTTTTGAATAAAATAAAAGTTAATGACATTATCAGTAGTTGTAAATGTAAACTAATAAATGAAAAAACTAGACTAACTAAGTTAAATTTACCTATTCCGATTGTTAAAAACATTTGTGATTTTAATTATGTTGAATGCGAGAAATGTTTTTTATTAAGAAATGCAAAGCAAGTTTTACATAAAAGTAATTTACATTCAACATTGAGACAATGTATTTATGATAAATACAAATTGAAATTTGAAGAAAATACATTTCTAAATGATGACTCATCATTTTGAACATATTGTTTTATAAAGTTAAATACATTTCCTACATATGAAAAAGTGAAAAAATATATACTGCAAGATAACGAAACATATATTTTAAAATTTTATAATGATATTAAATATTACTACGAACAATCATATGAAGTTAGTTATGGTGGCAAAACTGGAACAACAAGACCAATTGAAGAATTTAATAATAAAATGATATTTAAATTTATTGATGAGTATGATTTATCAAATAATAAAATTGAAAATGATTGCAAGGAAACATTTTTAAACTACATAAAACAAAGAAACCAAGAATTGAAAATCATAATTGATAAAATATGTGATTATATTCAGGATGAACAGAAGAACAATATAATAGGTAAATTAATGTATGGTGATGTGATAAATGATATTAAAAGTGTTTTAGGAAACTGGAGCATAGGTTTTTGCATTTATGATTTTGCTGATAGAAAATATCCATTTAAAAATAATAAACAGAACTTTAAACAAATACCAAAGATTACAAAGGAATATTTAAATACTAATGACTTTGATTAAAACCATACTATGATTATCACATGTAAAATATTATATGTTATAATTGTAATATATTTATCGTTTGTAAAGATTGAATTATTATAATTTGCTTATCTCTTTCAAAGTGCGTTGTTTAGACTTGGCATGCTTCTTCAATTTTTTCGTGCTTTGACTGTTTGTTTTTGTTTTGCTTGATACTCTTATGATATTTTTTGTTGGTATGTTGCTTTGTTTTTTGTTGATGTGTGTTTTTGAGTTTGGGTTCTTTGATGATTTAGAGTGTTGCTGTTTTGTTGGTATGCTTGTTTGAATTATTTAATGTTGCATGCTGTGATTAAATATTTTTGTTGCTGGTTGTGATTATTTATTTTGTTTGCTTGTTGTTCTGGATTTTGTTTTCTGTTTGTTGTGTTGCTGTTGGAGAAAAAACAGTAGAAAGAATAATTCTTTGAATTCTCCTTTTACTATTTTTTCCCCTCGGCCCGAAACCCGGGATGCGTCGCGAAGGGGCGCCTGGGAAAGCTCCGTCTGCGCCTTCTGCAGCTCCCCACTGCTCTTAGCCAGCTGCTCCTTGAGCACCGCCAACTCCTTGTCCGCCTCTGTGGCAAGGCAGGCATGGCTGGGCGAAGGCTCTTGAAACGCCAACACAAAACACGCAAACACGCAAACACTCATTGGAAATGAAGACTTGAGCACCAAAGAAGGGCCGGTCTTACCTTGGGAGCTGGTGACTTTTGGCTTCCAGACTCCTGATGTGACACCAAGGTGCTCTGAATGCATACCGCATGCATAAAGGGAGCATTGCAACAAAACAACTGACCATGCCTCCCCACCGTGGGCTGTCCTGCACCTTGCTTCCGGAAGTCACTTCACCCGTTGCCGCCTGAAGCACGTGGCGATGCTAGGCTTGTGACATACGCTGTCAGCCAAACTAGTTCATGAACTGGCGTTTCAGGACTTTTGATTTACACATAGCTCATGATCCATGTACAAAGTTTTACATGTTAAGGCCCCCTTCCGAAGATCCACCTGAGTTTTTTGGGAAGCTGCTAGAATCCTGCTGGAAACTGTGTGAAGCTGCTGAAAGCTGCAAAAGGCTGCTCTTTTCATGCCATCGACTGGCTAGGTTTCTACCAAAAGGCAATGGTCACATCAGGACAATTTTCAACAAATGTGCGCCGACAGTGGGCACGCTCCGACACTGGCTACCATGATGCGCCAACAAGGAACATTTTTGTGCGCCAACATGCGCCAACTGTGGACAAGCTGATGTGCGAACAAGGAACACTCTGGTGCGCCGACACTGGCTACGATGATGCGCCAACAAGGAGCACTCTTATGCGCCGACGGTAGACACACTTATGCGCCAACGCAAGGGAACACGGCGCGCAAGAACGTTCCTCGCTGGCGCAGAAGCGTGCCCACCACCGTCGGCGCGCAACAGTGTTCCCCGTTGGCGCATACGCTTGTTCTCCGTCGGCGCATCAAAGTGTTCACTGTTGGCGCAAAAGCGTATCACAAGCGCATCCAATCGGCGCACAAGAGTATTCCTTGTTGCCGCAAAAGCGTGCCCGCATCCCGCAAGATTCGGATACCACAAGCAGCCGAGTATAATCAAAAAAACATCGAACACCGGTGTAACAAAAATGATAGCTGCGTAGACCCAAACCAACAACAAATGTGTATCTTCTTGAAGAATTTGGGTCTTCTTCTTGAGGGATCACCCAACAAAAGTCCTCGTGGAACACTCTTGCGCGGCAACCGTGAACACGCCAACAGCGAACCGATGCCGGCTACTACCTCACTCCGGCTTCTTCCATGGGTTTGGGAGCTGCAAAAAGCTGCAGTGTTATTTTGCTAAAATGCAGACATGAGCCTGTCGGGACTTGCGCAAACTGACAGCTCGATGCCACAGAAGCCATTGCCTTTGGGTTCTGAATTGCCAAAATAAAGGGCGTGGGAGCTTGTAAGCTCACAAGTTGTGGCAACGGTAGGTGCTAAGGAAAATAGCCGCAGTAAGGGACGAAAGGCACAAGAAAATTGGGAAGCATCCCTAGAAGGATTTCAATTGGAATGTTACAAAGTGGTTACCCAGCCTCGGCCCAAAAACATGAATTTTGCAGCTTTTTGCAGCATTTGGCAGCATCTTGCAGCTTTCTGCAGCACTTGGCAGCTTTCTGCAGCACTTGACAGCATTCTGCTGCATGACCAGCATGTGCTGGAAACGCTGCAAAACGCTGCAGAAAGCTGTGGGATTCTTCCAGGAGTACTGGCGAAAAAACAGTGGGAGTCATGTGAAAAAGTACAAGCTTTGGCACCACGCATTTGCTCTCAGTTTGTGGTGCTGTGGCTGTTTTGGATGAAGTGGCATCTCCACCGAAAACTGACCTGCGCCTTTCCCTTTAAAAGTGTCCGTGCGCACTGTCACACAAGAGTCTGTTGTTGGCGCATCATCATATCCAGACAAGTGTGCCTTGTTGGCGCACAGGCGTGTCCACCGTCGGCGCACTAGTGCTCTCGTTGGCGCATAAGCGCATAAGTGTGTTCACGCGCGCTGTTCAGCGCGCCCACTTTCGGCGCACAACAGTGTTCCTTTTTACGCGCAAGCGTGCCCACCGTCGGCGCACAAGAGTGGTCCCCACTGGCTCGGAAGCGTGTCCACTGTGGGCGCACAGATGCGTCCATTGTTGGCGCGCAGGCAGTGGGCACGCTTGTGCGCCAACAGTGGCTGCGCACCGACGGTGGATGCGCTTCTGGGCCGCCCTTGTGCGCCGAAAGTGCGCACACTTGTGCGCCGATAACGGGCATTGTTGCGCGCGGACGGCGGACACGCTTCAGCGCCAGCAAGGAGCACTCTTGTGCGCTGACAGTGAACACACTTGTGCGGCGACAACGGAAACCGTTGCACGCCGACAGTGGACAAGCTGCGCCCTCAGCGCTCCAGCGGCCACCAACTTCAAGTCCGACGACGACAAGGAGGCGCTGATGGGAGGAAAGGACCCACCGTCGGCGCACAACAGTGTTCCCCGTTGGCGCATAAGCGTGTTCACCGTCGGCGCATCAACCGTTTGCTTGCCCGGCCTGCGCCCTCCGTGCCAGACGACTTGCAAGCCTCTTGCGCCAGCAGCAAGCCGAACCTTGATGGGCCGTGCTGGATGTTGCTGACTTCCGGTACTCCGAAGCGCCCGAGCCCAGCCGGCTGCTGACCAGGTCAACGACAGGGCTTCTGGGGGGTGAGCCACAGGACAGGCAATCGGCAAAGGCGCGTGGGAAGAAAAAACAAAACAAAAACATTTGAACGCTCCGACCATGGAGACGCTTACGCGCCAATAGCGAACACTCTTGTGGGACATTAAGCAAAAATAACAAAGGCTCTCTGCGCAATGCTTGGCACGGCAGCGTCTCGAAAGCGTCTATCCCGGACAAGGCGCAGGCCATGAAAGCTGTTGCTCCCCGTACGCTTTGGGACACTAAGCCCCAAAAGAAGCGGTTAGCTCAGCGGGCACACGGCCCGGCGATCTGGCAGCACTGGAAAACAAATGAAGCCACGTGCTGGGAGACAAGCAAATGCGCAAACTGGCGCGCATGCGGCCTGGCAATCTGGCAGCGCTGGGAGACAAATGAAGGCACATACTGGGAGACAAGATGAGACAAGTAAATGTGCACACAGGCAAGCACGCGGCCCGGCGATCTGGCAGCATGCGGCCCGGCGATCTAGCAGCATACGGCCCGTTCATTTTTATAAGAGTAAGAGCCCCAACAACCCTGCCCTTCCACCAACTCAACGACTTGTCGTAAAGTCACAGCAAAGCACCCTTACCTTCGCACCCTTGGACGGCTCGGCAGTCGGCGCCTTTTGGCTTTCAGGCTCCTGGTGTCACATCTTCTCATCAAGGTGCTCTGATCTCATACCGCATGCTGGCAAAGAGCATTACGAAAACAACTGCACATGCTTTCCCTACCCACCCTGCCCTTCCACCTCGATCCGACTTGTTGTAAAGTTACATCAAAGCACCCTCACCTTCACACCCTTGGACGGCTCGGCAGTCGGTGCCTTTTGGCTTTCAGGCTCCTGGTGTCGCATCTTCTCATCAAGGTGCTCTGATCTCATACCGCATGCAGGCAAAGAGCACTACGAAAACAACTGCACATGCCTTCCCTACCCACCCTGCCCTTCCACCAACTCGATCCGACTTGTTGTAAAGTTACGTCAAAGCACCCTCACCTTCACACCCTTGGACGGCTCGGCAGTCGGTGCCTTTTGGCTTTCAGGCTCCTGGTGTCGCATCTTCTCATCAAGAAGCTTGATCTGATACTGCATGCAGGCAAAGAGCAGTACGAAAACAACTGCACATGCCTTCCCTACCCACCCTGCCCTTCCACCAACTCGATCCGACTTGTTGCAAAGTTACGTCAAAGCACCCTCACCTTCACACCCTTGGACGGCTCGGCAGTCGGTGCCTTTTGGCTTTCAGGCTCCTGGTGTCGCATCTTCTCATCAAGAAGCTGTGATCTGATACTGCATGCAGGCAAAGAGCAGTACGAAAACAACTGCACATGCCTTCCCTACCCACCCTGCCCTTCCACCTCGATCCGACTTGTTGCAAAGTTACGTCAAAGCACCCTCACCTTCACACCCTTGGACGGCTCGGCAGTCGGTGCCTTTTGGCTTTCAGGCTCCTGGTGTCACGTCTTCTCATCAAGGTGCTCTGATCTGATACCGCATGATTACGGAAACAACTGCATGCCTTCCCTACCCACCCTGCCCTTCCACCAACTCGATCCGACTTGTTGTAAAGTTACGTCAAAGCACCCTCACCTTCACACCCTTGGACGGCTCGGCAGTCGGTGCCTTTTGGCTTTCAGGCTCCTGGTGTCACGTCTTCTCATCAAGGTGCTCTGATCTGATACCGCATGATTACGAAAACAACTGCATGCCTTCCCTACCCACCCTGCCCTTCCACCAACTCGATCCGACTTGTTGTAAAGTTACGTCAAAGCACCCTCACCTTCACACCCTTGGACGGCTCGGCTGTCGGTGCCTTTTGGCTTTCAGGCTCCTGGTGTCGCATCTTCTCATCAAGAAGCTTTGATCTGATACCGCATGCTGGCAAAGAGCACTACGAAAACAACTGCACATGCCTTCCCTACCCACCCTGCCCTTCCACCAACTCGATCCGACTTGTTGCAAAGATACGTCAAAGCACCCTCACCTTCACACCCTTGGACGGCTCGGCAGTCGGTGCCTTTTGGCTTTCAGGCTCCTGGTGTCGCATCTTCTCATCAAGAAGCTTTGATCTGATACTGCATGCAGGCAAAGAGCAGTACGAAAACAACTGCACATGCCTTCCCTACCCTCCCTGCCCTTCCACCAACTCGATCCGACTTGTTGTAAAGTTACGTCAAAGCACCCTCACCTTCACACCCTTGGACGGCTCGGCAGTCGGTGCCTTTTGGCTTTCAGGCTCCTGGTGTCACGTCTTCTCATCAAGAAGCTTTGATCTGATACTGCATGCAGGCAAAGAGCAGTACGAAAACAACTGTACATGCCTTCCCTACCCACCCTGCCCTTCCACCAACTCGATCCGACTTGTTGCAAAGTTACGTCAAAGCACCCTCACCTTCGCACCCTTGGACGGCTCGGCAGTCGGTGCCTTTTGGCTTTCAGGCTCCTGATGTCACGTCTTCTCATCAAGGTGCTCTGATCTGATACCGCATGATTACGAAAACAACTGCATGCCTTCCCTACCCACCCTGCCCTTCCACCAACTCGATCCAATTGTTGTAAAGTTGCGTCAAAGCACCCTCACCTTCGCACCCTTGGACGGCTCGGCAGTCGGTGCCTTTTGGCTTTCAGGCTCCTGGTGTCGCATCTTCTCATCAAGGTGCTGTGATCTGATACCGCATGCTGGCAAAGAGCACTACGAAAACAACCGCACATGCCTTCCCTACCCACCCTGCCCTTCCACCAACTCGATCCGACTTGTTGCAAAGTTACGTCAAAGCACCCTCACCTTCACACCCTTGGACGGCTCGGCAGTCGGTGCCTTTTGGCTTTCAGGCTCCTAATGTCGCATCTTCTCATCAAGGTGCTCTGATCTGATACCGCATGCTGGCAAAGAGCATTACGAAAACAACTGCATGCCTTCCCTACCCACCCTGCCCTTCCACCAACTCGATCCGACTTGTTGCAAAGTTACGTCAAAGCACCCTCACCTTCGCCCCCTTGGACGCAGTCGGTTCCTTGTTGCTTTCAGGCTCCTGATGCCACATCTTTTCATCAAGGTGCTTTGATCTCATACTGCATGCTTGCAAAGAGCTACCATGGCCTGAAGCACTCGACCCCGTTCCCGACACATGGGCAGCCCATTCTCAACTTGCTCCGAGCAAAACGGGGCGTGCCTCGCGGGTGGCAGGCCTGAGGCGGCTTTCGCTCAATGCGGATTGTGCGGTTGGAGCGTTCTAGGGCCGCAGGCAAGAATCTCAACTCTACCGGACGCGATCTCATGGCGCTCTTCAAGTCCTCCTCGGGCAACTTGTGACATATTTTTTGCGCATGTAGCGAGCTGTTCATGCGCCCCCATCCCGGACACCACGTGTCGGGAGGCTGCACTTCAACGGCTCCTTGGACAGGCTTCCAGCATCTTGCCCCGCTACCTGACGCACTTTGCGTACGTGCCATGAGGGGATAAGTGTCCACCAAACCAGATGAGCGAGAATATTTGCTGCTTGACTTCAAACCAGGTGCCATCGTGAGAGTTGCTGGTGAGAGGCCACCTCTCTGTTCTCGCTATTGCAAGGGGCCATGACCAACTCCTCTGTACCATTCCAATCTTCCCGAATAATCGCCGGAGATTGCAGCGGCCAAAAAATGGTTATGCAACTTGCGCAGGGGCCCTTGCCATCCTTCAAGCTAGACAACCGCAAACAAACAAATTCCATGTGAGTGCCCATGGTAGCCCTGTTGGTGTGGTATCAGGGGGAACCCAACAGGGAAACCTATAAGGTTTTTGATGAGAGCCCATGTTGCCCTGATGCAGAACCCAAGCGGGTCTTTTCGCTCCCCTTTCTCCCTCTAAAGCACCCACAAAACACAAATGGGCTTCCCTTCAACCCCCCCCCCCCCAAATTATATATATATATATATATATAACGCAAACACAAAGGAAAAAAAAAAAAAAAAAAACAGCAACACACAACGCGGCTCCCTGGGGACGTGTGCCGTTCCCCTCTTCCCGGCGTGCCTGGAACAGCTCGTCATCCTCCTTGACCCCATGCTGCGCCGCCCAGCCGTCGGGATCCACCTTCTTGACAAAGAGTTTGTTCTCCGCCGGGCCTCGGCTTCCCCAAAACCCCTGGCCTTCGGCCTCGGGACGTGCAGGCACGGTGTCGGACACCGCGATTGGACATTTCCGTAAAGAGAGAGAGAACCGCGAAGCCCGCAATCTCGGACCCTTCCCTCCCCGGCCGCCCGCCCCCCCCCAAAAAAAACACAAAACAAAACACGCAAAAACCAAGAAACAACACAACAACACAGAAACACAAAAGAAGAAGACTTGGTGGACGTTCCACATCGCCGGGCCGAGAAATACGCCCGTGCTTCTTTGGGGATCTCCGAGGCGGAGACGCAGCCCGAAGCCCAGGTTGCTGACCTCCTCCGTGGCCGTCAGGGAGAGCTCCGGGCCTGGGATGAGCTCCAGTCGCCCCGTCTGGGAAACCGGTTTTTTTGGGGGAACCGCCGGGGAGATCGTGGGACAGGAAGCCCACCTCCCCTCCCCCAAAAACAACAAAAAATCGGAAAGAAAGGAAGGCGGCATCGAATCCGATCGTGCGCGACCAAAACGCAAGAGAAAAACAGACACAGACAAAGAGACAAAGAGACAAACAAACACAGACACACACCTCACCCGAAGCTGCGGCTTGCTTTTCTCTCCTGGAGCTAGGATTGCTTGGCGCGAGTGCCCACCGGCTGGGGCAAAAACAGCCCACAGGTGAGGCAGTGAACGCAGCAGCTTGCTGAGCACTCCTGGCGTGCCGGTTTCTTTGGGGGCCCTGTGCCTTTTCTTCAGAAGGGCCATGCGACAAGGCGCATGGGTGGCGTTTGCCCTTCTTCTTAAAAAAAAAGCTGCGAAAGGCTGCGAAAAGGCACATGGGTGTTGTTTAAAGACAGCTATGAAAAATACAATAATAATCATGCATAAAAAAAAAAAAAAAAAAAAAAACACTACATATCATTTTTTAGGGATCCCTTAGCTTAAGAACCGACCCCGGGCAAACCTCGGCGCCTGGGAAAGGATCGATGCTGCGCGCTGCAGCGTGCTCTGCATCGACAGCTGCACGGGAGGCGCTGCCAGCGTCGGGGGCGGCGCGGTGCACTGCGCGGCTGTGGACTCGTCCAACGTGCCGATGTCCAGCACATACCTCCGCGGACGGCCAATCGGATCGGTGGGATGTGAGCACATACCTCTTGGGATGTGAGTCGATGCCTTTTTTGTGAGTGCAATTTGAGTGTTGAAAGGAAGCCGAAAGGAATCCAAAATCCAGGTTGGGCGTCCGAGTTCCATTTTGACACCTAACATCTCAGTGAGGACCCGGCCTGATGCCCGCGTCGTTGGAAGCATCCAGTAACCTCAGGATCGCGCACGTGCCTGCCTGACCTCCAATCACTACCCCCCACTGCTTGCGGAACCCCTGATTTTTTTTAAAATAATCATAATAAACTGGGGAGGGGGTATTAATCAGGGGTCATTGCAGACCAAGACTTGATACCTGATGTGTTCGAGGGTTGAGGCTTGCCTCAAAAAGAGAAGTTGATCGCCGCGTTGCAAACACTTCCCAACTTCGGTCCAACCATAGATGAACTTTAGGCGATGGGCAAATCCCCAAGCCTCGAGCTGTTTCAGCAAGGCACTCGAAGATGCTGTTCAACTCGTGCACCGGCATGATCTTGATCTCCGGCAATATCTTCGGCTCTGCCTGGTCGCACAGCTCGATGACCTCTTGCGTGGCGGCGATGCCTCCGATACCAGAAATTTGGACGCGGCAGATGTTGCCCAGCAGCTTTCTTGCCACGAAGGCGCCCGTAAAGTTCGCATTGATCCCCAGAATCACCAGCTTGCTTGCCTGAGAGGCCAGCAAGCTCCTGTACGGGCTGATGTCATGGTCCGTGGGGATGGTATCCAAGATGATGTCCAGGGAATTTCTGGCCGCCTCCATTTGCGAAGCCGCAGCCGTCGCGAGGTAGTGGTCGGCCCCAGCCCTGGTAGCCAGCTCCTTCTTGGCTTCGGAGCGGGAGATGGCGGTCACCACGCAGCCTAACCTTAAGCTTTAGGAGCTGGACATAGGTCAGCCCACTCGATATGTCTCGTCTTTTCTGGTTTGATTTGGAGGTCTGAAATGGATTTCGTGTCTTTGTTGCTTTTGGTGCCCCTTCTGACAACCACCGCAAAGTGGAGGGAGGTACCCTTTAAAAAAAAAGATCAATCCCACACAGACCCAAGTAATGGACCAGCACCGGAACATCATTTCGCCGGATGGATTCTTTTAAAGGCGGGTGGGTGGATTTGCCGGAGCAGCTGCTTGGCGAGCTTGATGCCCATCACCCCGAGGCCGCCCAGACCCACGATGCCCACGTGCGTGCCGACCGTGGCGCCGTAGCGCCGCAGCGGGGAGTACATGGTGATGCCCGAGCACATCACCGGCCCCGCGTACTCCAGGGGGAAGCTGCCGGGGATCTTCACTGCGAAGTATTCGTGCACCACCTTGGGTGCTGTAGATCTCCCAACAGTTTCACTTCTTGCAGGTTAAAAGGCAATGTGAGGGGTATCCAAAAGGATCAAGTCTAAAGATCCAACCCAATAGCAGTAGAGCCACGATCTTGGTGGAGTAGCCGCCCAGCAAGGGGCTCTTCTCCACCTGTCCGTCCACGGTGCGCGTGGCGGGGTAAGGCGCCGCGCGCCCGGACCAGTCGTCGCTTTGATAGGTGAACACCGCCCTTTGGCAGTTCTCCTCCTCCCCAGCCCTGCAGGCAGCACACTCCAAGCAGGAGTCCACAAGGCAGCCGACACCCAGCTGGTCCCCAACCTGAAACTTGGTGACCTGGCACATGTACCAGGTGAGGGGCGGACAAGCTGGCACCGTCTGCCAGAGGTGCGCTTCAAACAAATCTTCTTAGCCCCCCGGACGCAACCCGCAATTTTGAAAATGGCAAACCTAGGGCAGAAAAGCACGTGTCGGGAAAGATGCAAGCAGCGGGTGGTAGCAAACTAGTCCAAGCCGGACACACCAAGAAGGTCCAAAAGTGGCAAGTCTACACAAACAGCCGAAGAACATGTGACGGCAGCACAGAATCGAAACCCGCAACGTCTTTCACAACGCGGAAACGGGACCGTCAGGCCCCTCTTCCCACCATCTTGTCACCCACTTCGCCCCCACGGACAAACCCAGCTTTCGGGCTAAAATCTGGTCAAGGCTTTCGGGTGAAGCGACCTGGCACATGCCGCATGCGGTCCTTGGCGCCCACTTTCTCCACCACGCCGGCGAGCTCGTGACCCGGAACCTCAGCCGGTTCCGCTGGCCACCAAGCGCCAAGCGGAGTGAAGCCGAGCTGCGCAGGGGTACTTGCACTTCATGATGGGCAGGAAGGTGCTCTTGGCAGCTGCTGCATCTACATCTGTGTGGCAAACGCCACAGTACCTAGGCAAGGCGCCACGCCGTCAAGAGTGCCAAGCCCCGGGCTTCCGGCTCTTCTCATGCCCAGGCGCTTCAGATTGACCAGGACGTCGAAATCGCCCACTGGCCTGCATATGGCAATACATCAAAGAATAAGGGAACCCTCCTCAAAACAGGCGGCTTTCCTTTTGGCGAGAAGGGTCCAGGGTACCCTCAACAAAGACACGCCATGCCACACCCATATGAACAAAGCTTGCCAAGTTTCAAAGCATAAGGTGCATGCCCCTTCACACAGGACACAGAACCGACCTCAGGACCTGCCGGGGGCTATCTTTCTGTTTCTGGCCTGCCTACGCTGAAGCTTCACTGGCTTGAAGTCGCAGCACTTGTCATTGCAGGCCATGGCCATGATCTGCACCGGCTCCATGGCGTGATAGGCGCGGTGCCAACGGGAACTCGAGCCAGCGCCCCGCTGTAAACAAAACCCGTCTGCCAATCCCATGAACATCGCATGCCAGCACACCGACACCACCTACCTCCCCTCCCGCATCGGCCCAGGTGCCCGGAAAGCTGGCAGCCAAGCCGCTCGGCTCGGCTGCGGAAGCGCTCCCGCCCTGGCCAAAGTTCTCTCATGTGGGACATCTCTACTGCAGGCGCGCTGACCCTCATCACCCAAGCAGATGCTCGAAATGCCCGCGCCTGAGGCAGAAATCGCAGCTCGAGCGGCCGCTGATTTTTCAGCTGCTCCTTGATATCGGCGCCCTTGGCGGACTGCCGAAAGAGACCGCGCCGCTAGACCGCACCAAAGCAGCGAAACAGCGAATCATCTGATCGATGCCAGGCGTCCGCTAAACCTTCGGTTGCCTGCCCGTTGACTGAGACCAGGATGAAACCTCTTGCACTCTGATGTATCTGATGCATCTGATGTATATGATCACAGCTGTCCGCTTTCAAGACAAAGAAGAGAAACCGCCGAGCCATTTCTGCCAAGCCACCCAAGGCAACTTGGTGCCTGGGCTGTCGCAAGGCCAAAATATGCCAAAATCCACTCACTGCCCCTGCCCTAAGACGGTAGTGGGTTTAGCCTTACTCCTTTTCAACCCAGGCCCAACGGCCCAACTACTAGGGCCAATGGGAATCGATCGTCGCTCAACTAGTCACGTGCCACTCCAAGCGACTTCTCCGCCAGCGAGTCTGGTACCACTTTTGTGACAGTTCGACTGGCTTCTTTGTCCTTGGATGTCAACTCATCTCACCTGTCCTCACATCCTCTAAAAGTTGACCCCCCCCCCCAAACCCCAAACCCTAAACACCTGAAAACTTAAGGAACCGGATGGCTGCAACCAACAGGTCATGCAAACAAATCCTGGGGCTTCGTGCCGAGGCGCGAAGCCGCATCCCAGCTTGTCTTCGGGGCCTCTCCTCGGCGAGCCATGCCAATGTGAAATCAGCCAGATCGGGTGACCAAACTGGGCATGGTGAATCCACTCTTGGATATGGCCCGAATGTGACCAAACAACACCATTTCGGGTGGCATTTCGATGTTGCATCCTCATTTCGGGTGTCTGGGTATGGTGAATCCACGTTTAAAGTGCCCGAATGAAGACTTCGGCCGCCCAGTCAGAAAGCGCAGTCAAGCGAGCCAAGGTACAACTGCAGCGTCAGCATTGACTCCGGCAACGGCCACCCTAAATGTTGGAATTCTTCTGATGTCTATCCAGCTGTTTGGCGTACGTGTCATGTTCTTTGTGGTGTGTAAGGTGCTGGCGCAATTCCGCATGCTGCACATGCGCGCTATCAGACATTTAAGCTTCCATTCGCCAAAGTCCGCTATGTATGAAGCACTGAAGCCCAAATCCACGTACGCACAGTTACGCAATGCCGCAAGCGGGGTGCAAGCGAAGGTGCGGACCAGATTCGCGCGAAGGTGCCCAGCCTCCGTGTCACTATCCGCACGCCCTCCTGCGAGCTCTGCTCGCAAACCACGGCGTTGATTTTCTTGTTCGGTTTTTCCAGCGCTGCGCCTTTGCAGCGCGGGGCCAGCGCGCAACAACCTGGGCGTTTGGGGGGGCGGGGCTCCTGCCAAGTCCTCGAAAACGACCGGTGCAACGAGCTGTGGGCCGGCTCCAGCGAGCAGCACCCAGATGCCATAGGCCTCGGGGCGCCGGGAAGGCGGACGTCCGCCGGCCCCTTGTCCGAAGCTCGAGGGCCGCGCCGCGGTCTCCTCCTTAGGCAGCGACGGAAGCGACGGAAGCGACGGAAGCAACGGATCCCAGCCTCGTCGGGGTGCAAGCAGATGCCCAAGTACCTGACTTGATTTCGTATGTGACCTTCGCAATCTCCGAACATCAGGCAACCACGAAACACTCTTGACACCTCCCCCATCCTGCCTCTGGTGATGCACCAGCTTGTCTCGACCTCATGTTTAACTGAGGCACCACATCCGGGACACGTGCACAAAGCAAGAATGAGCCTCCCGGCGCAGCCATGCAGCTGCGTCGGCATCCGCAAAATCCCCAGACAAACCTCGCGAATGGATCTTTGTCATGGCCAATTATGTGGAATGCACTGACCCCGAAAGCGGGCAGGTCGCCTTTTTGGAACAAACGAAGGCGCAGGGCCCCAAGAACTTCATGTTGCCGGCAGAGAAAGCACCGTCTCTCTCCGGAATCTATCCACGCTTGCTCTGAGGCAAACATGCGTGCGCGATGATGCTTCCAGAGTTAAAGCCGCAAACGCGTCGCAGGCATCCTTTGCCCATGGGCGCCGCGCATGAAGCCGCTGGGATTTGTTCGTCCTTGGCGCAAGCATTGCACCGAGGCCTGTTTGAGTCGTAGGCCGCTGCCAAGTGCCCCCGGGCTTTGGGCCTGAGCTGGTCTGCTGTTCTGTGCTTCTCCCTTTCTCGGATGCTGTCCAATGGCTCCAAGCGGCTTCCCAGTGTCGAACCACAGGCACTCCTGGCAAACCTGGCTGTGCCAATCGGTTCGCGCAGCGCCCAAGTCGGGGCTTGGATGGGAGCTGCACGACTCGCGGCCGCGAGTTCGTCTTTTTGGAAACGGCGCAGGGCGCGCCGTATGGGACGCCGAATAAGCTGCCGAAGCTGGGGATGGCGGGATGGCCAAGGAACACAAGGGAATCAAATCAAGGTCCGATTCACTGGCCGGGCCGATCTCCCAAGTTTGGCTCACTCAGAAGCTTGCCTTTGGCAAAGCGCCTCACATCCCTCAGTCTGTGACAACCCCCGGGGGTGTCGTCACTCTGGACTCAGCATCCGTTTCAGTCTCGTCATCTGGCGGATTCCATTGGGACCGGCCAGTGCCGCTGTGCCAGTAGTACCTTGCGCAACCCCGCAACCCCGCCCCCGAACGAGCAAAAGATCCTTGGGTCTTAGGCGAAGTGTGACAACTGCCGCATTTGATTGGGGCCGAACCGGAATGGCCCGAACATGGCGTTTTGAGTGTCAAAGCGTGTCATTTGAGTGTCAGTGGGGGTGCGAATTGAGGTCACTTACCCCTTGAACACGAGTGCTTTGTAATTACACCTCTGCTCGTTTCTCTTGCCAAGACTCCAAGCGCTTTGGCTCGCATCGAAGTGCATTTCCCACCCGGGGGGCAAAGACTCCTGAAGCGACGCAAACGACGCAGGACCTCTGCGTCTGACGTCTGAGGACTGCGCCTTGAGGCTCGCGGGCCCCACGGGCTCTGCCTGAGCCAAACCGCGCACGCCGAAAAAGCGTCGCGCTGTCGGCAACCCCGCGACGCCTCACTGTTCGTCGAGCGGAAACGCTGCGCGCCTCCGCAGATGGCTCGTCCGAGTTGCCAAGGGACAGCCTTACAGCACGCAACCTGAACCTCCAAAGGCTGCCTGAATACTTGTCGTGCCCAACCCAAGAGCCCACTATAGCGCACACATATACATGTATATATACATATATACATATGTGTGCGTGTCTGTGTGTATGTGTGTGTCGACATAGAGGGCCCCTACAAATGGATTTCGGGGTTACTTTAGGCTTCCTCGGTGAAAAGCGTAGCCTCTGTGGCAGGGGGCCTTTTCTCTGGACTGTCCTCCCAAACCCTTTTGGCGTCCATGATTGTTGTTTGGAGTACCCTTCAAATGTGGCTGTCTTCAGTTGGTACCTTTCTGTTTCTGAGGAAAAGCACCGGGAATCACCATCAATCCATTTTGTGGGCCCCAGTACCCTCATTCTACGACAGCGAACATCGCCGACACGTCGGATGCACATGCAACGAATCGGCTCAGCTCCATACACGAAGTCTTCGTGGAGCAGTTCTGTGGCACTCAGCCGCTTACCTGGCACGGTTTGTCCCACTTGCGAAGAGAAGAACGTGGGACATGTGTCCTCTTTGCACAAATTTTGGACCCGCAAATTGGTGGCTTTCCCTTGAGTGTCCTTCTCTGGAAAAATAAACAAAAACCAAAAAAGGTGCCCTCAAAAAAAACCGAGCCACCCACATGTCCGGGTGCTCCAAATGCTGTGGGGAGATCGATGCATACTCTCAGATTTTTGAAGGTTTCCCTGTTGGGTTCCCTTGAAAGTGCCTATCCAAAATAGGTTCCCCCCAAACGCAGACCCGTGTCAACTGTTCAGGGGATGTCTTCCCTATAGGGGAATAGGGGAAACGCCAAAAACATATTGTGGCTTCCCTGGTGTCTTCCTTTAAGAGAAGCCCTCTCAAAGGGTACACTCAAGGAAACAATACACCTTTTGAAGCCAGGGCATGGGTCAACATTAAGCCATCAGGGGACCGCAAGGTTTAGTGCTTGGTTCCATTCACCGGGGTTCCATGGTTCCCCGCACCCAGAAGGAAGTGGACGAGTTTCCGGCCGTGCCTGGGTCCAGCTGCGTGCAGCGGCGGATGAAGCCCCGGCAGCCAGGGGAAACAGTGTCCTGAGGCAGCTGGGCGTTTAGCCCACCAATCGCCGGTGTTGCTTTCGGATGCTTTCGGCTTCCCTTTCAAACCGTTTCAGGGCACCCTCCCCCTGTATCCCTGAAACGCCCATCCAGCAAGGGTGCAGAAACAAGCCGCAGATGGCGGCATGGCGCTGACGCGGATTCGGCTCAAGAGCCCCGGGAGCCGGGCTGGGATGGGCGGCAGCTCCCCTGACATGCCGATCTTCAGAATCCTGGGCACTGGGGACGTCGCGAACTGGCATGTCAACATGTGGGTGGGGCTTTCGAAAGCCCAATAAACACGGCCGGTGTCCTGCTTGGTTTGCCTGCAGGGCTTTTGTGAGGCCACCTTTTCCCGAAGGGGCACGAATTGGGCGCCCTTCGAACGAAACAGGGTTTGCGATGTGTCCAAGGCCGGCGCGCCGCCATCAGGTTGTCGAAGTGGCCCCAAGGAGCATCTGCCGCGGCCATCCTGGGGCGACAAAAAGGGCGAGGCGCTGGCGCTTTACAGTGCGGTCGCTGGTTGCCGGGGCACTCGATGACCAAACAGCCGAAGCTCCAAATGTCACCTGCAATGAAGGAATTGCCAGCCATGGCATGCACATCCAGACTTCAGGTTTCCAAGAGCCAGCACATCCAATGGATGCCGTTCTGGCCGGGCCTGCCCGTCCAAAGCGAGAGTGCGTGAGTACCTGGCATCACGACTTCACACGGCTCAGGGCGGCCGACCGGTCGGAACCCGAGCCTGGCCTCTGGAGCCATCCACGGAATGGAGCCCTGGATTGATACGGAGGTGGTCTCCTGCATAGAACGCGACAGACACAACCTTTAAATCCCGAATCCCCGACAACTGCCGCTGCTTTTTTCATTTTTTTCAGCTTCCCTCAAGGGCGCCCACCAAAAGCCCGGCGCATCTTCTGAGCTCCTTGGCGCGCTTCGAGCAGCCGAAGTCCGCCAGCTTCACCAAGGAGTCGACGCCCACCAGGACGTTGGCGCCCTCGCAACCGTCGAAAAGAACAAAAAAAAGGCGCAAGTCTCGGGTCGTGGAATGATACGGCTATGAGTCCTTGATATCCCGGTGTAGGATATAGGGATTCTGCGTGTGCAAGTACTCCAGGCCTAGACCAACTTGTCACCATGCCCAACACAGTGCGTGAGAAGGCTCGAGTTTTGGGAGCCAGGCCGGAAAGCAGCTGCTGCCTCGGGTTTGCCGCGCATGCATATGGGACCTCCGTCCGGTGTGAGAACAGTCACGTCAAGCCGATTTCCTTGGCACGCCGCGTGTACTGCGCCATCAGATTCTCCTCCAAGGGCCCAAAGTTGGAGAGGACCTGACAGCCGGTGACCCGGTGGCTCCACTGGCATGCCGTACAGGCTGGCCTGTGACAGCGATCCGCCAGCCATGTATTCGAGGTACATTTGAAGATGGCCGTCGCTCCAGTGGCAGCCATAGTACGACACAATGTGCGGGTGCCTGCACCCCCCGGGTGCCTGCACCCCCCGGGTGCCTGCACCCCCGCAGGCGACGACGGCAAAGGAAAGAAACTGCGAAGCACAGCTTTTGGCTCGCAATCCAGTTGAATGGGGCTGCACGGGGCAGTGCATGCTAAGCATGCCCTAACCACAAATCGGCGGCTTTGGGCACATGAACCGCAAATCCACGGATTTTGGGCAAATTCGGAGTGCACCCACAGCGCCTCAGGCTGCGCATCAGGTCGATTTCATTCTCGAGCTGCACCTTCATGTCCATCAACCACTTTCACCCCCCAACAAAAACCCTAAGATCCAGCTGCGCCTTGAGCCTCTCGTCCGGCTGATGCTGCACGTCGATGTGCACTTCCTCGGCGCTTCGCAGACAACGAGCCGCTCGCGCCGAAGAGGCGACGACTCACTGGTCGCAACTTGTCGCCTTCACGGCGATCACGAGGCCCGTCTCCGAGTGCATCGCCTTGAAAACGCTGCCGAAGGATCCTCAGCATGGAGGTTCTAGCAAAGAAAAACAAAAACATCTCTGCAAATTAACATGCAGTAAGGTAAGGGGCTGAATAGTTAGAATGGGGGTTTCGGAGTCAAACAGGCCGCCCACTGGCCCGCGCGGTCAAGGAGCCATGGCCGATGTTCTCCCCGCGTTGCAGGGTCTTGGGGTCCAGCTTCAGCTCGTTGGCCGCCTGCGAATTCGTCGGTTCGTTGGGTCTTCTTTTTAGGGCAGTCACTGGATTTCCCCTGGAGAGTTGATCAATCTACTGCTCTTGTTTGTTTTTTTTAGACGCCAGCTTTGGGAGGTTTCCTCTTTGGAGGAAGTGGCGTCGGGAAGCCGCATGGCAACTTGCCGGCGCACCGCCAGGTTCTCCTCCCTCGGCCCCTGCACCTGGCATAGCTCGCGCGAGTAGAGCAAACTGCTCATATCAAGCCCACTGTCCCGAACGGTTTTTCCATGAACCATGTCCTCTGAAACGACATGGGTGTGGTGGCTCCAGTGGAGGTCCAACGCAATTCCAATTTAAAGGTGTCCCATTTGTCCGATACATCCCAATGAAGGGTCATTGTCAGTCAGATTCCCATGAGCTTCAAGTGTGTGGGAAAGTCTGCCAAACTCACATCCACTACTATGAGACAGACCCATTTTGAGTGGGTACTCCTTTTCGAGGGTCAACATGTACTTTTTTAATCCATTCTTGAGACACACCCCCCCCTTCCCCCTCAACAAAAACAACAACGACAAATGGCGGCTCTCCTTTTGGCCCCCCTCAAAAACACAGCCACAACTGGCAGCTCTCCTGCTCTCCTTTTGGAATCTTCCCATCGGGTGGGGGCGCCCGTTTTGTGCCCGCGCTCCGCCTGGATCTGGGCCACGCCCGCAGCACCCCGGGTGCAGGTCAACGTCACCGCCTCCCCCCCCGTCGCCAGCTGCGCCGTGGGCTGCCGCTCCACCGCCTCCGACTCGCGGACAAAGCGAAGGAAAGGAGCGGCGGCGTCCGGCCCGTTTTGGGCGGCTGAAAACGTCTGAAAGAAAAGGAACCAAAGCCTCTTCTTTCTCAAGCAAGGAGATGGAACAGGAACGGACGAAGTGAGACCACCTTGCTCGGTACAGTCACATGTCTTTGCAGTACTTCCAAAAGTTCATCTAAGAGATCCCGGAGTGAAGTTGGAAAAAGGACCCACATGGTGAGCTCGTATGGTTCCCAGGTATACAGATATTTATAGAACACCATGCCAAGGAAAGCCACATGCTTTTTGGTCTCCCTGCTTTGACACTCACACACAAATAGCAAAAGCATGAACACGAAGCTTGCAAACCGCGGTTTCGCAATCCAAGACATGCCAATGCAGGGATTGCGCCTCCTTGAGGTAATTCCGAATCTCCTCAGCGCGTTTGGCACGTGGCAAAGTCACTGGGTGCGACACGCCCCAAGCAAAGCTTTCCCATGACTCCAAACCTCAAACTGGTGAATGCTTTTGTCTGAGCAACGCGCTCTCGTACACAACATGGATGCATAGATATGTCTTCTTTTTTCAAGGGCAGCCCCCCTTTTGGCGGCTTCAAAGGAAATCCAAGCAGCCACCAAGAAAACGCTTTTTCAGCCAGGTGGCACTCTCGCTGACAACAGCCCCCGGCATGTGGACGCCCAACTGCTGCAGCTGTGACCCCAGGTTTACCTTAGGAAGCAAAAGATGTGAGGACACTTGGAACAAGCAGCGTGGATATTAAGATAGATAGATAGATTAGATTAGATTAGATAGATAGATAGATTAGATAGATAGATAGATACACATTTGTATATATATATATATATATTATATGATATTAGATATATGATGACATATGATTATATATGTATACCTCAAACTCTTGATGTCTTCACTCTTGAGTTGCAAGTTGCAAGCCCGCCTTACAAAGGAAAACCACATATCCTACATGTGCATGCCCCATGCCTGGCCAAAAGTTCCGCTGTGTCCAGGCCGCAGCGCCCGCTTCACAACATTTGTCGCTTACTGCCACCCAGGCCACCGAAACAGCTTTCCTCGGTGGCGCCGTTGGCCGGCCTGCGCGACAGAGTGCTCCGGCCAAGGGCGTCACAGTGCCTGATACTTCCCACACTCACTTGCCCAACAATACACTGGAAATCACAGGTTCGCCTTTCGAGCCCATGCACAGAGGACATTTCTTCTGGGCCACGGATCTTTAGCCAACTTTTCGTCCAAATCAGTCCCTTTTGATTGCTGTTGGGTAACGGGTCTTGGCCCACGGACCGAAAGGATCTAAGCCTCTGAAAGGCTCCCTGCGGTCCGTGGAGCGGCGAACCGGCACTGGCCTTGGCAGTCTGCGGCCTCCCGCTCGGCCTCTTCCAGCAGCGTCTTGAGCCTTAGCCGGTCGGCCGAAGGCTCCCGTGTCTCTTGGTTCTTTTCTTGGGTGTATATCCATACCAACTCCACATACCCACTTGTTTAGGTATCATGTCGACCCTCTGCGAAAAAAGGAGGTATTTACCTTGAACAACCAGGTTCTCCAAAACATACCCTAGAACATGTTGGCATTTGGAGTAGGAGGTTATATATATACATGTATATATATATATATATATGTGCTTCTGTGCAAAAACTATAAGTAATGACAGTTAATGACATATGCATGTAACGATGTCTTTGTGGGTTTCGTTCTTTCTTCTGGAATGTACCTTGAACAGGGCGCCAAGGCTTTGCTCAGCGAGATCTGCGATCTGCAAATTCTGCGGGGATCTGCAAGACGCGCAGTCGCGCTTTGCTCAGTGCGGACCAAGCCACTCGCTCTTCTCCACAATGTTGCTTGGCACCTTGTACCCCAGCCTCGGTGCTGGGGTGCTTTGGTGCTTTGGGCTAACGGGCGCTGCTTGCTGCCGAAGCACTCTCGCATTCGCCGCTTCATTTGCGCCACCGAGCTGGAGCTCGTTCCAGGCGAGGCGTCTCCTCTCAAGCGTCCCACATTGGCGACAGCTTGAACAAGACGTCTGCAAGACATGCCGCATGTACGCATGTGCCTCACCCCGCATCGCACTCGTATGTGTGCACCCCGCATCGCCAACACTCGTATGCTCGGTTTCAATCCCGTGGCTTGCCTGGCGCTTTGGCATCTTTCGCCGCCTGGCAGACAATCCAACTGCCCGACCTTTGGGCGGTCGAATCTGGCCTTCTGCCTTTCTGCTTCCTGCACGAGGGCTTCCAGCTCGCTTTTCCTCAGCCAACTGGCGTTGACTGTCGCCTGGCCTTTGTTGTTTGCAGCCAGGCATCTCCATCACATTCGCAGGGAGCCTGAGCTTGTCAGGTCAATTTGGTCAACGAAAGCTTGGAGCTGACAAAACACATCGCTTCTCGCCCCGCCGCAGTTGCTCCCTCGCGAACCTTTGTTAAAGCTCCGCCTCTTCTCAGCCAAGCTTCTTCCAACCCACATCTCGCAGCCGTGCCTGCGCGCATTTTTTCTTGGGGCCAGTCCCCTTACGATTCATTCGACTCACTCCACCAAAAGTGGCGACCGGCCGCGCCTTCAGCTCACCCACGGTGCGCGAGGGCGAGGGGGGCGAGGTTGGCTCCAGGCTCTGCGGCCTTCGGCTTCCGCGTGACACACGATGCCACGTCACAGGCGTCTCAGGCGGATGCTCCGCCACCGGTGTCGAGGGCTCTTTGCTCTCAGGAGGCTCCACCTGCAACTTGTACCTTGCGAGCAGGACACAATTCACACACGCGTATCAAACGCATCGCATGGACCGAACTGCGAGCACAGATTTACCACACTGCTGAGCTGCCGGGTTGGGGAGCGGATGCATCCAGCGCCCATGACATGGATCTACTCACATCGCGTTGAATAAACTGTCCAAGTCGCGCCGAACCTTCAATTATGATACTGTAGCCTGTAGCCTGTGAAATGTGAAAAAACAAACTCACGGCATCTGTGTCGCTATTGAAGATGCAAGGCCGCCCCAATTTGACCATATTAGATCGTTTTCGAGCAGCATGCAACATTCTGGGGTGTTACAACCCGCACTGCTGCGAATGAGTTCATGGCTGGCCGCTTGCGAGTCTCATGTGCTACCTGGTGAAACGAGACCATAACGCTTTGATCACCAACAACATGCAAGGTCTCATGTGACTCGCCCATCGCGCGTGGGTTTCGAACACGAGCTGCAAGCTGCAGCCCAACGATCTGCACCTCGTCCCCCGTATGCCGCACCTGGCTTCCGAAAAGTCGAAACCGTCCGCGTCGGAAAGCTGAGATCTGGGCGCGGCGGCAAGCGGCCAGGCTTCCTCACATTCTTTGGCCGCCACTTGGGATTTTGGAAAACAAACGCAAACAACAAGAATCAAATACACAGAACGCCAGTCTGGCTTCATTATTGTACGATGATCAAAGTCACCCCCTAAGTGGTGGGTTAAAGGGAAATAACCCCATTTTCTGACTTCGATAACCCCCAGAAACCGTCAAAATGATGACCCCAGCCAGTGCAACAGCCAAAGAGGACACACAAGAAGCGTTCGAAGGCCGAGCCCGGGTCCTACCAAGTTCCGTGATTCTCCCAGCACCCAGGCAGGCACTCGATGCTGGACCTAGGGCCGATCCATTGGAATCGCTTTGGGAGTCGTGATGGAACCAAGTGCGGGTGGGGAAGCCAAACGCCCGGTTTCGCAGGCGAACGAAAGCCCAAAGCCGGGCAAAGGGAGGCCCACAAAAGCCCTTTTAGCTGGTGGGCTCCCTGTCATCGAACCAGATCTGAGGAGAAAATGGTCCGCCCGGTTCCATGGAGAGTGAGAAAGACGGGGAGATTAAAGGGCGACTTCTTCGGCTCTTGGGGCATCGACCGGCACAAGGAAGGCCCCGGAAGTGACCTGGCGACCCGATCGGACGTCGGACGTGACACACGGAAGACCTTTGTTCAACGCCTGTGCCTTGAGTCCCTAAATATGTGACATCACGTGACACTGCCTTGGCAAGTTCTGGATCAGTGTCCTTAATTGAGTGTGATTTCACCCTGTGACACAGGAAAGCTGCAAGTTCCAATGGCGCTGAATCAGTGTCCTCAACGTTGAGTGCCTTCAATACCCTCGCTCTTTTCCAATGCTGCCCCAGGCACGCGACTGAATTCTTAGCATTGGCCCTTTGCCCCCGATTTGCACATCTGAGCTGGTGATGGTCATTCAACCGATGCGATACGCAAACGCTCGAACTGCCTGCCGCAGGGGGGGCAAAGCCTCTAGTGGATGCAGGGATTCGCTCTAGCCCTATAATGGGCCACAGCCTATTCCGGAGTGAAACATTTCACAACTCGTTAACACTTCTTCTCTTCACTGCCCATCGTCCAATGAGATCCAAAACTGAACCAAACCAGTGCGAGTTGAGCGGTTCAGCTGGACAATTCACATCTTCGGTGTGACGTCCCGCGAATTAAGTCCTCCGCGTCGCGGATGAATATCGACCTGTCAAGCACCAAAAAGCCGGAGCCGGCTAACCCCACGCAACATTTGGAGCTAGGTCTTGCATAGCAATCCGCACCGCATGAGGAATCGCAGCTGGCACGGTGTCTTCAGACTTTCAACTACCCGGCAAAATGCATGCGTCGTGCTGGGGCAATGCACACGCCCAAGTATGCTTGGCGGCTGAGTGTGACTTTTGCCTCGCTACTCGAATCGGCTGTTGTTTGAGGGTAGAGTTTTTTCTTTTGGCTTCGAAAGGAAGTTAGAAGGACTGGAGCCCCCGAGCAAGCTCGTGACTTTCGCGACCAACATTTGAAACCACCCCCCAAATCCTCTCAGACACTGCCTCTTTCAGTTCACAAAGCATCCACAGGAAGAGCCAAACACACCTCATCACACCTCAATAACTCCAGAACTAGTTCTGCAAAGCGAGGACCGCCAGAACATGCGGACGCGCCCAACTCCCAGCCCCGCGTTTCCCCCCCTCTTCCCCTTCCCCGCCTTTCCCCGGCCCCAGGGGTTCCCTCACCGAGCCTCCGAGCCTCCGAGCCGCGCGGGGCGGAAGTTCGGAGGCGCTATTTCTCGTAGCCCCGGCGGAACGCCTCCGCGAGCTCCTCGTGCCTCGCCAGCAGGCGGCACGGCGGCACGGCGGCACGTTGGCCCGGGGGTGGGGAGGCGGAAAAAAGCCAAAGCCGCGCGGTTCGCAAACATCTGCGCGTGGGACCTTTCCTTTTTTGAAGCTGGGAACAGGGAAGTCAAAAACAAAAATTGTGTTGCAAAGCCTTCCAGCAAGTCTTTGGAGCATCAATTTGGGTTGCCAGAGCTGGGCTAAACTATTGCAATCCCCCAAACAAGTGCCAAACATAGATTCTCTGACTATTCACGATTTGGTGTTCTTGGGTTTCCGAAACAAAACTCACGGTGCCTGCAAGCCGACAATCGCATTCGAACATCAACAACCTTGTTGGGCAAGACTCTTGCATCCCCCACCTCCGGAAGTGTTAAACTGACATGCATATTGACCCGCCATGCTTTGGCTTTGATGGACTTTTTGCAAAGCCTCCCGCGAAAGCCAACAACCATCAACAACTTGGTCGTGGGTTGGCAGAGTTTGGTAAGCTCAAAATCCCAACTCTGAGACTGTCAAACGGTTGATTGCGAGTTTTGGCTTGATGGGTTTTCAAGGCAGGACCCGGTTTGCAACATGCGGGAACGCACCAAAACAACCGAACATCAACACCTTGCGGTTGCAGTTTGAGAGAGGCGTATCTGGGCTAAACCATAAACATCTAGTTCCCAAAGTGTCAAATGGCGCACCTGTGCTGACTGTTTGAGGGGTGTTGTGTTGCGAAGCCTGGCAAGCCGACAAGAACAAGTACACATCAGTAACTTGCCGGAGTTTGTCAAGGTTGGGCTTCGAATCTCCAACGCCGAGGTCGAAATCATACATGTCACACATGCAGAATGCGCATGCCCACTAAAGCAGGCAACCATCACCAACGTGTCATTGCGGGTTGAAGTTGGGCTAAGCTGTTGCAATCCTGATGACGGCTGATACCAACGGAAACCAACTGATACCAAGTATGTTTGAACCCCATGCCAAGGCAACATGTAGCCATGAGTTTGACACTTGAGGCCCAACTCTGTCAAACCACAACGGTGGGATACGGAGGGTTTCCAGGCTGGGCAAGCCAAGGAATTGACCTTGAAAGCCCGAGTTCAAGGCACGGCCGCCTCTTGTCAAACACGCGTGCAGTAAGTTTCACACATGTAGCGCACCCTCATGTTTTGAAGAGAGAGTAGCCCAGCTCTGTCAAACCGCAGCGCCAAGTTGCTGATGTCCGCTTGTTTTCGTGGCTCAAGACTTTGCAAACTATCGGTTTTACCTTGAAAACCCAACAGCATCAAGGCATCAAGGCGAAGTATGATGCCCGCCACTTCCGGAGCTGGGGCTTGCAGGGGTTTAAGCCAATTCTGTGCCAAAGAGAAGCCAAAAGGAAACAACACATCTATCTTTTGCTCCCCCCCCCACCTCGTTTCAAAACACACAGAGACGCACAGAGACGCACAGAGACACACGCCGAGCCAGCGGAGGCACAGGGTGGGCCCGTAGGCGCCCTTCAGCAAGCCCATGGCTTCGCAAAAATGCTCCTCAGCTGGCGCTGGCAATCGGCCGGCGCGCGCGATCCGCCGACGCGCCGACGCCAACGCAATCGGCGCGCTTCCCCCCCGAAGCGGTTTTGCTGGGGGTTGGCCTTGGTTCCCCCCCGTTTGGACGTGCCCCCGAAGCGGTTTTTGTTTGGGTTGGTAGCTTCCCCATGCTCGTTTTGGTTGGACGCAGAAGCCCTGAATGCGCCAAAACAAGGGTGTCGAAGCCGAGAGTCGACATCGTTGTCGAGCGTGGGAACTCCCATGCCACCAATGTCCTTGGACGCGCATGCGAAAACCCGAAGCGAAGAAACCGGCCTTCCGGTGCTCCAAAAGAGTTGGAGAATGAAAAGGATAGGCGGCACCTGCTGTCCCAACTAGACCAACAGATGCTTCCCATAGCTCCAAGCTGTCTGAGACATGTGAGCCGTTTTTTCCGCCCAACTTGGAATTGGAACCCGGGGGCCGAAGGCCAACTCACGAGGCCCTTTTCGCCAGGCCACGATGAAGAAGATCCCGTCGCTGGCCTCGTCGAAGAAAACGTTGGACGGCTGGAAATCCTCGGCTCCCAGCGAAGCAAACCAAAACTTGCGATGGGGGAATGAGAAATCCAGAAATGGAAGGACCCCTATGAATTATTTAACTGGTGGTTTCCTTGGGGATGGGTTCATTCCCAGGCATCCCTTCTCGCGCCAAGAAAAGGGGTTTTCCTAGAACTCTGAGTCAAGGGTCCCCGTGCTGCTTGTTGTAGCGGCTGTGGAACAGAGCGAGCTGTTGCCCCAGCGACTCGAAAATCTGCCGCAGCATGGCCTCCTGCCGGGGCATGAACTTTGGACATCAGAATTCGTGGCAGCGACCACTTTTGAGGTTACTTATTCAAAGTCCTGGCTACAAGAGCAAGCTTTCGGGGAACCTTCTTGAATCAAATGTGTGTCATTTGCCTTTCTTTTTTGCTCTCTCTCTCTCTCTCTCTCCCTCTCTCTCTCTCTCTCTCTCTAGGCATTTCCCAAAGATTCCCTGCTGGGTAGACTGAAGCACCACCTTCTTTGAACCCAAGCATCGAGTCCGTGGACCGGGGCGATGTTTCAAGGGTATGCGGGGCAAGATCCGCATATCTATAGGGAACCCCGGAAGACATAAGGGAAACATGGGTTCGGACACCTTTCCATAAGTAACCTTCCAGCATTTTCCAGATGCGTTTAGGGGCTTTATGGTCTGTCTTTTTTGACCCCCCCCCCCCCAAAGCACAAACAACAACGGCGTCGGTTTTGACTTCCCCAAAACCAATCTTACGCTGGGAACCTCAGTGAAAGGACGCCCCCAAAAGGCTGCCCACCACCATCACCACCATCACCAACAGCAGCAGCAGCAGCAGCAGCAACAGCAACAACAGCAACAACAGCAACAACCGCAACAACAGCAACAACAGCAACAGCAACAGCAACAGCAACACCAACAACAACAGCAACACCAACAACAACAACAACCACAACAACAACAACAACAACAACAACAACAACAACATCAGCAGCAGCAACAACAACAACAACAACCAACAACAAACAACAACAAACAACAACAAACAACAACAAACAACAACAAACAACAACAAACAACAACAAACAACAACAAACAACAACAAACAACAACAAACAACAAACAACAACAAACAACAACAACAACAAACAACAACAAACAACAACAAACAACAACAAACAACAACACACAACAACAAACAACAACAAACAACACCAAACAACAACAAACAACAACAAACAACAACAAACAACAACAAACAACAACAAACAACAACAAACAACAACAAACAACAACAAACAACAACAAACAACAACAAACAACAACAAACAACAACAAACAACACAAACAACAACAAACAACAACAACAACAACAACAACAACAACAACAACAACAACAACAACAACAACAAACAACAACAACAACAACAACAACAACAACAACAACAACAACAACAACAACAACAACAACAACAACAACAACAACAACAACAACAACAACAACAACAACAACAACAACAACAACAACAACAACAACAACAACAACAACAACAACAACAACAACAACAACAACAACAACAACAACAACAACAACAACAACAACAACAACAACAACAACAACAACAACAAACAACACAACAACCAACAACAACAACAACAACAACAACAACAACAACAACAACAACAACAACAACAACAACAACAACAACAACAACAACAACAACAACAAC